TTTGCATAAAAGGTAGTATACACGTTATTATTTAGAGCTATGGAAAGCTTTAATGGCTGTAAAAATACCAATTGTGTAAAAATTTACAACAAATCTGTTTCTTTATTATTATATTCCGAAAAAATTTATATGAAATAAATTCTCTCCGTACCACTGTTCTAAAATGCCTCCTGATTAAAAACCTCTAATAATTTTATAAATGTGACGATTTTCCAGAAGCCTTAGCGATTAAAAGTTTGTAATACTAATAAACACTAATAAAACAACGTACTGTTCCCAAACCACTATTCATTTTCTGTTTTCAAATATATGGATACCAAATTTGCATGAAAGACAGCATATGCATTATATTTTAAAGCTATGGAAAGTTTTAAAAATACCAATGATGTAAAAAACACATTTAAAATACAACAAACTTGTTTCTTTATTATAATACTTCTATCTATCGCAACTTTCGAAAAATAAACATAGTCTCTCCACAATACTGTTCTACAAATGTTTCTTGATTAAAATCTCACTAATAGAACGGTTTTCCAAAAGCCTTAGTATTAGCAATTGAGAATTCTAATAAAACCGTTCCATATAATTACACCGGTTCTGTTTTTAGAAAAAAGGGCAACCATAAAAAATCTGCATATTAGTATTAATATTAATACGGGGACTTCTGTCTCCAGCAAAAACAACCTCCGAGTCTTTTGTGTTTTTTACATGATTATAACGGGTGAAAGTATTAGACCCTATTTTCTTTAATAAAAAAATGCGGAATCGTACCTCGGAACTATACAAAAAAACGAATAAAAATTCTCCGATACACATCACACTGTATACATGTTGAAAACCATGATGGGTAAGTTTTATTAATATTTGTGCAGAAACAATAACAATGATAAATTAATAATATGATTAAATTTTCTGGTGAAGGAGCGAGCAAAGAAATTGATGAAATTAGGTGATTATATGACTTGGTGAATCTGATCCACAGCAGAGGTTTACTTAAAGATTATAAAAATAATTCTTACATGTATATTATATCTATTTGACAATTTTATTTGGCTAGTGGAATCTTTGGTCGGAAAAATTCTTCGGGGACAATACAGAAACATGCATATGCTAATTGTATGCGATCACATCAACCCAGTCCACAATGGTATGACGTATAACATTCATTGAGGGAACTTTGGGCAGCAACGGAATATATATCAAAGCCTAATATCAAATAGTAATGGCATGTCATATGACATTCGTTGAGGAATACTAGGGTGGCTTTAGGCTGATTTTTTTTATACATTTCTATATAGGAATTGAACTGATTCTTCAAAAGAAATTTGACAAAACTAGAGCTTTGGTAGATATAAAGATATGCAAGAAAAAAGATATTGATGTCTAAATTTTTGCTAATAATTTTTAGTTGCAAAGAATAAATTTACATAACCATCACAGAGTATTACTCTCATTGAGGCTATATTAGGAGAAAGAAATGGAAAATTCATCGGTAAGCTCATCATTATCGAACTCTTTTTGCTTTGATTGGTGAAGAGTCGGTTCAAAAACTTTCTTACTTATTGCCAAAGCTCTGATCCGATGAAACTTTAATTTACTGGCCTCCACTCTTGTCTGTATATTGACAAGCAATATAAGTATCAATAAGAAAGTTTAAGCAAACTCATTGAAAATAAAATGAATATATATACCTTGAATGAGTAAACAATTCTATTTGCATATAATTCAAGCTCCGAACGGTTCGGTTCGGTTTCGGTTTTTAAACACACAAAAAAAATTACTCGTACAGTCAAACCTCGTTTCAACAAAGTGGCTGTACATATAAGGAAATTTCATTCAAATTTGTTGAAACGAGATTACCAGTCGCGTTTCAACGAGTTTTTGTATGTGTAACAAAATTTTTAAAAATTCATTGAAACGTGAATTTAATTATAATTCGCTAGAACAAAGTTCGTTGAAACTGTACAAGCTTCTTATATAATTAAATTAATTACAAATATTGCACTTTACTTACTATTTAGCAACTTAATCATGAATCCGCACTTCTTGTGCAATTGCGATTCAGTGATTTAACCCCGAAATAGCTCCTCAAGTACGAAATCGTTCCAAGTGCAAAATCTACGTTAATTTCTACTAGAGTTGCCTTTCTAAACTCTAACATCTTTTCTAAACTAGTTTAGAAACCCTAAACTCCTACTGTTTTCGAAACTCCTAAACTGATTTCATGACATATGACGTGTAACCATGATTATCGAAATCGCTCATTTTCTCTATTTTCTCTTCAAGTGACCAAAGTTTTTATCAGAGTTAATTTTATTTTGATATTATTATCCTGACAATTAATTAATTATTAAATCATTGGTTCAGTTTAAAAATATTATAATTTTCTTATTTGTTCTAATATAATTTTTCCCTTTCTTAAAAATATATAAATTTTTTTTAATCACAATAATGTCAAACAATACTGATGTTGATATAAATAGTTTATCAAATTCAAAAAAACTTGATGGACGACCAAAAAATGCAGTTTGGCAACATTTTGAGTGCTATCCTTCAAAACATCCAGGACATCTTGGAGCCAAATGCAAAGCATGTAATTGTGAATGGAGTAATGGAGTTGTTAATAAAATGCAAGTCCATTTGGCACATGAATGCGAATACATTAAAGAAGAGATCAAAAAAAGATATATGTATATTGTTGCAGAAAGAGATGGTGTAAGTGAATCTTTAGAAAATACAGCATATAAAGCAAATACACAATCACTTGCTAATTTTTGTGATAAATATGAGATATTATCAAAAGAACATGCAGGAATTATAGATCATCCAACTTTAAAGGCTTTTGTGATTTGTGGTATCCCCTTTAGGATAGTTGAAACCCTTTTTTTCATCAACATGTTAAAAAATTTCAGATCAAATTATAAACCTCCTTCATGAGATTGTCTTAGTACTAAATTATTATCAGATGAAGCTGTTCATGTGGATATAAAAATTAATAATATTTTAGAAAAAGGCTAACAACTTGACATTGGGTATGAATGGTTTTTATTTTATTAAAATTATTTGTTTGGTTGGAATTTTTAGGAGTTTCGAAACAGTTTAGGAGTTTCGAACAGTTTAGGAATTTGTGCTCATTTTCTAAACCAGTTTAGAATGGTTTTAATTTCGAATAGTTCTAAACTCATGAGTTTTGGAAGGCAACTCTAATTACAATAAAACTATTTCGAAATTCTGAACCTATTTTTAAAACTCCATAACTATTTTAAAACTCTGAAATCATTTTCAAAACTCCAAAACTTTAAAAAAATCAAAATGATGCCATAGGTGCTTTATGTGAGAAAAGGTGTAATTAGATCTTTTTCAAAAACAAACAAAAATGAAACCGAAAATAAATATTTTTCAAAAATTTATTATGTGATGGTGGAGGATGTTTTTGCAGATCATTCTATATTTCCCCTTTAATATCAATTAAAGAAATTTTTACTTTGAGGGACATAGATAGAGGTTAATCTTTCCACAGCAAGTTCGCTGATTATTCATGCTTCTTTTGAATGATTAAAGCGTATTGAACAATTTCTAAAACCTCTTGATAATGGAAATTATTATACCATAACTATAAAAATAAACACACGCTCATGTGAAGAGTAAACTTTCTCAACGATTTAGTAGCATGCAATTCAAAATTGATTTACTTTTTTTTTTAATATTCAAGAATTAATACAAATTAAGAAATTATTTTTTAGGAAAAGATTTCCTTGAAACCTTTTTTTAAGTTTGATGATGTATATATA